ATGAATTTAGAAACAGTCTGTACATGCTCGTACGCGAGCGACGGTAATTTGCCGCACAATCGGAAACCGCCGTTACGTTAACGTTAACCGCCGTGAATCTTGCGCATCGTAAAAGTTCCCGAAATTTAGAGTTTGCTATAAGCCTATCAAGTATTAAACTGTACGCTTTTAATATTCCTTGTGCTACAAATTCTACCGTAGCGCTAGTAACGACGTCTTTTAGGTTCTGTTTAGCCTTATAATTCTATCGGAGCCAATGTTAAGCCCCAAAAGATATTTCTTTATACCGCTCTATAACTGCTCGTAACTACTCTGTTTATTCAACTTTATTCTTCATATCCCAATAAAATGAACATATTTTGTAGAAATCTCTACAAGTTATGTTCATTTTATAGGGACGAAAAGAATAAAGTTGAATGAAAATGAGTGGACGGAGCAGTTATATATATATATATATATATATATATAGAGCAGTATATATTGAACAGAACACTTTACAGAACTATTGTAGAATTATATATTTGGCGAAATCTGACAATGTATGTGCGCGGATATCATGTAGGACGAAATGATATGCAGCGTGAACTTGGCAAATCAGATTGTCCGGAGCCACTTTGTTAATGAACGGCGTTAATGAACGGAACTATTTGTTTAACTTATCAAGAACTCTAGAACTATTAAAAAGAGATACAGAACTCTCAATAATTTGTGATTTTCTGCAAAATGATTTTCCGCCAACTTCACACACAGCTCATCCTATTCTCTCAAAATACGACGTGCTCGGGCAGTATTAATTTTTTTTTAAATTGTACAACGTTGCTAGCGCTTAGAACTCTTTAGAAAATGTTTTCTTATGCTCATAACTATCTGAAAACTCTTTTGGAAAGGTCAGAACTCTGAGATTTCGATAGCGTCTCAAGTCGGTACGCTTATCACTGTATTATTGCTAGTCTTTATTTAATTATTATCATTCTTTTTTGCTTTTATAGAGCAGAACTTTTTACAGAATACTATTGTACAGAATACTATTGTAGAGCTATATATTTGGCGAAATCTGATAATATATATGCGCGAAAATCATGTAGGACAAAGTGATACGCAGCATGAACTTGACAAATCAGTTTGTCTGGAGGAACCATTTTTTTGTATTAATGAGCGGAACTATTTGTTTAACTTATCAAGAACTCTAGAACTATTAAAAGGGAATACAGAACTCTCAATAATTTGTGATTTTGCGCAAAATGATTTTCCATCAACTTCACACACACTATCTCGATAATTGTTCATCGAAAGAAGAAATAATACTAGACTTTTTACTTTATTTAGTCTCAAGAATATATTGTTACAATAGTCAACTTTAACTTTTGTTAACTTATCGACTTTTGGAAATTTCAAAATCATCAAATTAACAAAAGTCAGGAATCTATTGTAACAATATATTCTTGAGACCACGTAGAGGAAAAATGTCTAGTACCATTTTTTCTTCCGACAAACAGCGAGATATCGTAAGATAAATATTGATAAAGTTACCAAGTTTTCCTGAAATATCTCAAAAAATATTAGGCAAATAAAAATATGTTGTAGACAAAAATTGTTCAAATTAATTGGTAGAAAAGGATGACATAATAGAAAATTCAGATTTCTATTTAAGAAAAGTAATTATCAGTAGATATTTTAAAAGTGGCGCCATCTATAACCAAACTGATATAGTTTTTTATTTTGTCCCCCTTGAAACCATACAACCTTTGTCTGAAATATTTTTCCATATCTTTCATATTTTTCGAGGTATTTGATTGTCAAAAATAAAATGGGACACCCTGTATATATATACATATGTATATGTATATGCATAGCTATATATATATATATATATATATATATATATACACTTACATACATATATACGTACATACATACATACATATACACACAGAATCAATATTAAGATATAAAAGAATCAATATCAATATTAAGATATAAAAGAAATATTGCAAAATATGCTACAGGTTATTTAATTCTACTTCTTTTTTATTAATAGACACACGTTATATTTATTGATAATTCAATTTTCTGACATTCTTCCTACAGTTTAATTTATGTTGTATTAAAAATCTTAAGTAGAATATATAAAAGGTAATTGAACATTAAATAATTTTTCATATCTTCTAAAAATTACACTTGTAGCGTCGGTCATGCAGCCGTTCTGGAGGCGCGGCATAGGATCTGGAGTCGTTTCAGAGGCTTTCAGTATGTCCTCCCTTAAATTTCAAGTTGGTAAAAACTGCAATAAGTACCGATTTGTAACATTAAGGGAGCACAAAGTTGTAGTTTATAGCATTAAAAGAGCAGTATACATCCTATATGACTCCAGATATAGAGATCTTTCAGTAGTCCTCTAGTCCTACGGAATTTGCAGGCTCAAAGTAGAACTGAAATTTCGACTCGGGTTATTGCGGGGACGTGTGACCGTAAAGTGACTAATTTTTTTCTCGTATGAAAGAAAGAAATTCTACGTGCGCGTATGCATGACTCGCTTCGTGTGCAATTTATATCGGTGAGCTTGTAGAATTTTGGCGGAGCGCACTGGCGCTCTCCTAATTAAATGTTGCACAAATTCATTCGCATCGATCTGTGTCGATACATTGCTCTTTTTAGACAAAAAGCGCGCCTTTATCAGCACAGTTGAGTCTCGATGCGGAATTCAGTGTAAACTTGACGTCAATACTGAATCTCTCAAATCAGTAGCTGCTCTGCTTTACGTACGGCGTGAAGCGAGCCTGAGGAGGTGGGTCGATTTTTCAGTTTGCTTTACTATTTAGCATTGCGCGAGTAACGGGCGGATTTCATGTTCCCGCTTCACATGCCGTGGAATTTATATTTCGCCGAGCCCAACCCCTTCCTCAGCCGCCTCGTAACATCCACCTTCAGGAGATTTTACAATTCTCTACTCCCCTTCTTCGCGATTCACCGCTGCGCAATACCGTTCTCAACGCCAAGGGACGTGAAATTAAAAGATCCTTTCAACGAGATCTTTTCGTGTATCACGCGATGTGTGCGTTTGGGTGCGAGTTTGGAAAACATCAATGTGAAAATGCGCTATAAGCTGCTTAAAATCTTACACAGGTGAATGAACTCTCAAACAGACGAAAGTATACGAACAATCGAATAACACGGTTGCGAGGTTTCTCGCAATTGGACGGTAAATGTATATTGTACCTCACGAGATGAAGAGTGAATTTTGGTGAATTCAAATGTTTCAAAAAAACTGATACTTTATGTATAATCTGGTTAAAGTGCTTTTAACCAAATTTAAACTTGCCTCTTCTTTTTAATAAAATCAAGCTTTCAATGGAAATCAATCTTAATTAGAAATGTAATTACCAAGACATTGAGGGTAAAAATTGAAAGATGTCCTAAAAGCCGCCCGGTATTCTCGCTGAGGAAAAATTAATTTCGGATTTTGCCAAAAACAATTAGGTGTTCTCGCTTCTTCCTAACGTCAAATTTTGTTACCGGAAACAATAAGGAGCTTTGTCTCCCTCTCTCTCCCTCTCGAGAGACGAATCGGCATATTGTACAACTGGTTCTCTCTCGTACTCGAGTCTTAACCCCCACTCGATACCGTGAAATACTCGCTGCAAATACAACGATATTTTATCCCCCTATATCATCGAATATTTCGGGCTCGTCTGTGATCGAGGTCGAGTGCTCTTTCCTTCGAGTGTCCCGCTCTTGAAGATACGTTTATTCGATACCAGTTCCGAGAAATTTCAGGAAAATGCCGATGTTAAGCGCAGATCAATGAGCACTGGCACAGGGGAGGTATGGAAAAAAGAAATCTGAGATTATCAGCATGTGATACCTGTCCGACACGCGATTCTCCTGACAAAAGTCGACCTTTCCTCCGAATCTCACAAACCCAATAAATTCTCTCTCTTACATCCGCCAAGATGTATCGGAAATCTCAGAGTATTTATAAATGTACATACAAATAAACCCAATTAAGCGTGATATTTTATGAAAACAATTTAATTGCGTATATGACAAGTGAATCAACGTCATGTGTAATCTCTTTAGAAGGTTTTTTGAGTAACAAGTTTGTTAACTTCGTATATTTGTGTATGTGTGCGCACACTCGTCGGTAACACACAGGATCGTGCGCGCTGTACATGAAATTTTGAGATTCTCTAAATTCAGAATATAATCTGATATCAGACATATGAGATATGCGGAGTCGAGATGAAAGATCGTATGAATTCACTTTGATCCAAATGAGATGAGAGCCTTCCCATTTGTAGATCGTTACTCGTCGTATTATTTTATGCTTTATGCACGTACGTGCGAGTGTTTCTTTTTTACACGTTATACGTGTGCTCGCGTATTGTTTGCAACAACAGCAAATTATTGAATCAATGTACGCGTAAATTATAACTGAAATATCCATGATATTCATATTAATACGCTCGATATTTCGTTGTAAACGTTATGAATCGCCAGTACGCCTCATCATTCCGCATGATCCTAATTTGAACGTTAAATGAACGAAATAATAAAGCTGTACGCACACACACACACACACATGCATACACAATTAACGCGCATAATATAATTTCAATAACAAAATTTCCTGTCCTGTGAAGCGTTGCTCTAATCTGCGACGATTATTTATTCTCTCTTCGCCGACTTTGATACGTGTGCCGAATAAACGTGAATATTTGAGAAGGAGGCGTGTCAAATCGTTTCAAATGCGATTAATTAAAGCCGCTTGATACACCTCTACGTGTCTGACATATATTATATTTTATTATTTCAACGTTGATGATTATAATCCGAATTCTCTTGCAATATGATGAGATTAGCCACATTATGCTCGTTATGTCGAAAATAATACGTTTGATCTCATTTCAGCCGAAAATATTCTCTATTCGTTGGCCTAACGAGGATCTGCGCGATTCCCGCTGGTATTCTCGTTTACGCTAATAGGACACATTTTTTTATAGTTTGCAGCGGACGAAGAGCTCGGCTCTGGTGATTACGATCTCGACTTGCTCGACGGTTCCGGCGACGCTGATTTGAATAAGGTAGACGTGAGCCCGTCCGCAAATTGCGCTCCGGCTTCGCTAAATTGACGCTATATTGACAATATATGCACTAACTAATTATCCGTTGAATCGCTCTTGGACCACTAACTCATAAATGTTGATGTCAAGTTTGGGTAATTTACTAACGAGATTTAAACTTTGCGTGCATGCCACGTCGCCATAAAAATAATCGTTTAACGAGGAAGTGGTGTTTAATTTACGAACATGTCCGACCGAGTATAATCTACGCAGAGATTAGAACGAACAAAGATAGTGCATTCCACCTTTTCGTATTCTCGCTTATCTAACACCTCGCAGCAACCTGTTAAAATTGCTTCAACTGTTTTGTGCAAAGCATTTTCTTTTATGTCTCGAGTGTCGTATATTTCATATGAAAATAAAATACTCTGTACTTTATAGAAAATGACTGTGTGTTAAACAATGGCTTAATATACGTAATTAAATGTATGCATACATTTTTAACATGACATTTACCGCATATCTACAGTAAAATTTAATTATTGAATAATGAACAAATAAATTACCTCAAGTTACACTCAGGGAGCGTATAATAATAGCTTATAATAAACGTATCCAATTTATAGATTATTGATTTCTCGGAAGTAAGCCGGTGACATTATGATTTATATCCTTAAAATTGACTAATCCTTCTAATGGACCGAAGTTTTAATGAGAATTTTCTTAAAAGCTGTCGACCATTAGGAGAAAGCCGAGTGAGAAAGAGGAACGAGAAATTAGGTTACGCGGATAATCTCGTAAATACCGGGAGGATAATCGCTAAAATTCTCCTAGGATTTCGCATTGGCAACTTCGTCCACCCGAAATCGTCCCGCCGCTCCATCTTTGCCATCCATCCGCAATCATTAAGAAATTGAACATAATCCCGATGAAATTAGGTCGCGCTTCGATACAGTGCGCGACAGAAAATACCAACGCACATAAATTGTGTAAAACCGTTCGAGTTTATTCGAGAAAAGAAATACGTGAATTATCGACGAACGAATATATCCGAGCGACACCGAGAGCGTTTTCTCAACAACAAAAGTAGTCTCCATTATTCGATTAGCAATTGGACGGTCCTATGCGCTGCACCGAGACGTACATAAGCAAATCGTGATGGAAATGTTCTTCGAACAATTTGTAAAGTTGCTTCGAGCAAAAACAAGTCGCGAATAATTGATGAATTTGAGAACCAGTTTCGAGAAACAGATCTTAAAAGTTGGTTGGCTTTTTGGGCTCCTTGGTAATCGACCTCGATCGTGTCACGAGATGAAACGCTAATGTAAATCGAACACATGGATAAAAAGTAGAGCACGATACGCTATCAGGAAGAGATCGAATGCGCGGGTCAGCGAGCTACCTTCCGGCGGCTCTGCAGCGATGCGTTTAACGCGCATGCTGCAGAGGCTGACGAACGATCAGTCTCTTGGTGGCCTTCTCCCCTGTCCACCCGTATACCGTAATGAATCGACGATCCGCTACGTGCGCCATATGTATGCCGTTCCGGAAGTTGAGATGGTAGTTTGTGTCGCAACGGCTGGTGATCCGTGCCGGGCCAATAGCATTTTGATGAACCCCGTCTTCTGCTTCGATCGAGTAGTCGGTGCTTTTACCGCTTGCTAAATTCATTAGGTTAACCCGACTCCGGACGCACACCGGCCCGACGTCTTTCCGCTCGCCGGAAATGGCAGCTGGTATTTTTCGACTTCGCTCTGGCGCGTCGCGAAATTTTTAACACGCTTTTATTGACTCCTTCCACGAGATACCTGGCGCGGCGCGGCGCGTTGCAGTATGCAACGGATTGAATAGTGTCAGCGAGCCCGACGAATCGATCGATATCGACTTTTGATCAAGTGTTTTCTGCGCTATAAGTGCGATTATTAACATACAATGACATTGCGGGTTTAACGACTCGGATATTCCTGTCCTTCATTCGAACGACACGATTTCGATTTTCGATTCTGATTTTATCTCGCACCGACATCGATTTCTCGTCGTCAAGTCTGCATTCGGATCGGTGTCAGTATGTATTCAAGAAATGAGGAATTATTTCCGGATTAATATAACATGTCTCCTTCGACAGCACAGCTGACGTTCGTAAAAAGATTACGTGGACAGTTTCGAAGGGTGATTTTCCTTCCCGACATAGTGCGAATATAACGGATTTATCTTCGTTGCCGGACATACTCGCTCATACTCATTTTTTTTTCTGAATGTTGCCTGCCAGATGTTGTCGCCTCGACGGAAAAATCGCAAAATCACGTTTTGACGCTGAAAGCAAAGTATAAGTACGGAGGCTGATATTTATTGCAACGTTTCTCTCTCTCTCTCTCTCTCTCTCTCTCTCTCTCTCGTGTTCCGCGGAATTTTCGAGAGCACTTCACTCTGCTCGCTGTAATTAAATAAAGAGCCACATCGCGTATCCACAGAGCCATATCGTACGCAACGGCTAACAGTGTATCGACTCCGCAAGTTGATCCGGCGTTTCAACCAACGACGACGTTCGCTCGACAGTGACGGCGAAAGGCGAAGGGGGCATTCACGATACATCGAACAAATAACGGTAAATGCGTATTCTCATGATACCAATCCTGCGTCATCCCGAATCCCTCGCAGGATCCTCTCGCGCTCGCCTGGAAATTCAGTCGAAGTTCGTAGCGCGCGGGGGCTCGCGCACGGGGCTTTTCTTCGCGCGGAGAGAGCGGAATTTATTTCACCCGTAAAATCCCACTCTCGCGGAAAGCCCCGGGAATGTACGGCGGGATGCAAAGACGCGGTCGTGCATGGGAGAGCTGATCAGGGTGTATGTACCGGGTGAACGATTTCAATGGTACGCCCGGAGCGTTCGCGGGAGCGACGTGTCGTTACGACGCTACGTGTTACTGCGATCGTGCGGCAGGTGTTACGCGCCCGTTTCATAGTTCCTTCCCCTCCCCCTCCCCCCGTCCCGCCCGTGTGTACACGAGCGTGTTACACGTGCGTGTTACGCGTGCGGGTACGTGGACCCGCGTTACCTGTACGTACGGATGCGTGCACGCCCGCGTAATCTCGTGAGGATGTATGGAAAGAGGGTAAAAGAGCACGGATTAAACATGACGAGCATGTAACGGAGGGCCAGCTACCTAGCCTAGGGTGGCTAGCTAGCCAGCGAAACTTCCCTCACCCTCGTCGAACAGCCGCGCGAAACTGAAACGCCGTACTCCCAAGGCGCGCGTTTTCGTCGGTTCGCGATGTTACCTCGTGTGTAAGTCGAAACGCATAATTATTCAAACTACCGCCGAGCCGTACGCTGTAAATCTCGTGCGGTTGCGCCCGAGAATACCCGAAATAATGTAAGAATTGGGGGTTATTATTATATAGGTGCCCTATAAATCAGGACGAAGTTGGACGAATACAAAAGTGAGGTAATAACGATCGATTATTGCCGCATTTCCGTGTGTATGCGTTTGGTGTGCGCGCTGTGGCCGTGTTGAAATATGTAACAACGATATCCCGCGCACCATCGTAGATTCCCATTATAACGCATTATAATGCATTATTTATTTATGCATTATTGTGCCGTTTTATTTTCTAAATTCCCGTCGTGTGTATACATCGTACTTGTGAATAATTGTTATACCCCTGATAATAAAGGCCACTAATTTAAATGCGGAATTATAAATCCACTGTGACGCGCAATAAGTGAAGCGCGTATAATAAATGTTTAAGTTGGATACGAATATATGTAGCTGCTGCAAATAATCTTTTTATTTTATTCGATACCGCGCGTTATTGCAATCGCGCGACAGATGTTGCAAATGTATTTTTTGTCCGCACGCGGGCTCGCGCGCCTCTGTATCTCGAAACGCGGTGTAACTAAAAGCGTTCGTTAAAAAAATGTTGCAAAATCCGGGATCAAAAAAAATTCAGAATCTTTATTGTTACGAGAATTACAATCTGCTGCGAAGTTTTCTTTCATTAAACCGTTTCAAAAAATGTTGGATCGTGCAGAAAAAAATATTGGCCTCTGTGGAAAATAATCCAGGGGAATTAAATATTGTTCGTGTGATCGCGTATTCCGTAGCGGACAGCCGCAAATCGTCTCATTCAAAATGATCGAATCGATCATTCTAAAAACGAACTCCATCGCCTGGCTTCGGCGGATGAAATATTTATCGCGTTTCCTTTGAGCTACTTTTTTAATAATAATAATATATATATATATATATGTATATATATATACACGTATATATATTTTTTTGTAGAGTATGGCTATTCCCCGTCTCTCTTGTATCATCCGGATTTTAGCGCGCATTCATCGACTTATACATTGACAAGTTATACGTGTGAATGCGACGCAGATAATAATTTCGCTAAGTCTATCATTTACCATCATATATACGACTCTCTTTAAATATTATTTTCCGCGCTGAACCTTATCAACTGACGCGATTTGCCCGAGAAATAGAGAGCACCGCAATACTTGTATAATAATACTGCACATAGTTGCGACTACGTATTTCGCTACGAGATATGTAATTGTGCGTAAATTGACTCGAGAGCTTAGCACTACTTAGGAGGATTATAGAAAAGTGCGCAGAAAGAGATAGGATATTTTAAAGTCTCATAAAATATTCATGTTCAATCATTACAAATATCTCTAATATTTAATTAGCGTCTTTCGTGTACATTAATAATTCCGGCTGATGAAACGTCGAAAAACACCGGGGATTTTATAAAATACCGACTGACTCGAAGAAATTCCACAGTTTTTCGCCACGGAGATGGGAAACAAATCATATTTTCGTGTTCCTTTCTTTTTACAACAACGCAAGAACATTTGGTCAGCGAAAAATTCTAACCGGACGTCGACTCAGCGCCGATAAAGCGCCGTCGTTACCGATAATTATCGGAAAACACTTAGGGTTGGTGTCATGTGTGCTAACCATACTGCCTGATTGGCTTGGAACTTCATTAATCACCGTCATCGCTTGATGTATTATTCGCTTTTAAGACGAAGACGAAGACAAGACAGTCCGGCATCATGTCCGAGGAACTTTACTTCGATACTTGGATTGTTCGCAACTGGCGCATGCGATCATTTATACTACTGACTAATAATTTGCGATAGCGGGTCATCACGGGGCAAAGACGGGACATGATGAAGTGCGAGAACGAGATATCGCGTTGCACGCTGAGATTATATATGTTCCCTACTACGTCGTAGATATGAATAACGAATTTTACTTCTTCCCTCAATCGACCGTGTCACGATATATTTTCTTTCATTGATACGTACTTTACGTGTCTGAGCTGCTAAATTTCACCGTGTAATTCCAGCGTGAATAATTATTCATCAACTCGAATCCACACCTCAAATCAATCTCGATACTCGTCTCTTGTCGTCTCGCGTCATCGTGCAAAAATTCCCGTTCATACAATTTTCATGAATTTCAATGGCGTTACGCAAACATTTGCATTTGACTGATTGTTATATAAACACCTGGCAAATATTTGTCGCGGAGCTAATCAAAAACAGTTGACACATCCCCGCGCGTCGTTTCAGCATTGTGGTTTAATATATAGCTGCAATTTGCATATAAAATAACTAATCAACGAACGATCGATAAACCGGCCGTTGTGTCGCTATCTTCGTCGCAACTAAATGCCGCTGTAAATAAAGCGTCTCTGTGCAATTTCCCCGCTCGGCTGCATCGAATCCTGAATTGGCAAAGCGGCGACGAGGCCGGCATATTATGTATCGCCGACAAGACTGCGCTATCCGATTTTATCGGCGTGCTTGTGATTACATTTTCAGATCGGTCGCGATGCGGACGAAGACAAGAGCGAGGAGAGTAACCCACCGCCATTCATCACACCCCCGCCCCCGAATCCAGATTGTGAGTAAAGCCACCAGCGAGGAACCACCGTAACAATTTTTTAACCGCTCATCAAGTACCGCGCTGTGTCGTCACGTCCGAGGAATTTCCACCTCGTAGGAATGCGTATGATACGCAAAGTCGATCAATCTCTATCGTCATTGTTCTTTCAAATTTAATCGATGGATCTCGTCGATATCCCGGGATAGTCTAACGCCTTCCCGATTAATGAGTGTACCGAGACGTCGATATCTACCTTCTTTTTTCTCTCTCTCTCTCTTTTTCTCCTGTTTTGATCCCCGCCGTAGGTGCGAGAGGACGGCGCGTTAAAAATCGTTTATTAATTTCGCCGTGGCCGACGTCGATGCGCACCGTCGCGTCTACGGAGGTATCGCGTCGAAGAAACGATGATAAAATATGAAGCGAACTTTTTTAATCTACTTTTCGCGCGCATAAATCACTCCGCGTGTCAAAACAGGCGGCGACGGAGAGCTGCTGCGTGGACTCACGGCCGCACCTTCCTCTTTCAGATAAAGGTCCGAAAGGTGAGAAGGGCGACAAAGGGGACAAGGGCGAGAGCGTAAGGGGTCCTCCGGGCCCTCCGGGCCCGCCTGGTCGAGATGAGGTAAGCTCATCGCTCAATCTCGACGCACTTTTTTCCTATACTAATAATTCAACATACAGGACAGCTTGCGACGACAAAGATATGGCCTCTTTCAGTCTGGGAAACTTGCCGACAATACCAAAAGTGATACGGTCGCGGACAACGCGAACGGAATCGCGATAGGAATTAGCCGCGCGCACGGCGGAAATTTGTTTATATATGGATATTTCATCGTGCGTTACCTGCAGGTGACGCGAGCGCGTAGCGCAGACGCGATGTGAAGGCGAACTGAATGCGCGTGAATCCGGGATCGCTCATTTTATCTTGTTAGTCGCGTGAGTCAATTTAACATGGACAGTGGTGAACCAGCGTCCGTCGCATGTAACACTGATTACACTGAAGCCGCTTTCGCAGCACTCGCGATCTTCCGCCGTTATTACGTATACGCGGTGTACGCGGTGTACTTAATCGGTTTTCAACACTGCCGAAATCCAATTGCACCGCTACGTTGGAAGTTAATAATCTCGCTTGTGCGAAAATAGACGAATAAAGACAAAGAAAGCGTGATGAACGGTAGCGTTTTGATACTTTAAACTCATCGTTCAGTTTCATTTACGGCGGATGAAATTTCGCTCGCTACCGGATATATAATATATTTATTACACACAGAAAACAAGGTTTTAATGTTTAATTTAACATAGCACGTGGAAGAGATAATGTTCTAATATTTATTATAATTATTATAATACTATACAAGTAATGTATTGATACAAGTAATGATATGATTTACTATTGCAATATTATTACACACATCGATTACACATTGTGCAAGGTAATATTAAATCTCTATCGATCTTTGAAGGATTGGCTGATGAAGATACCACAGGGACCACCTGGTCAGAAGGGAGACCCTGGTAGTTGTACCTGCAACGCCACGGCCTTAATGTCTTCCTTTACGATGCCAAAAATGATACAGGGGCCGAAGGGTGAGCCGGGAGTGTCGGGACAAGAAGGCAAACAGGGCCTAATGGGTCTTACGGTACGCCGAGAGCTTTGCCCTTACAAGTTGCTACGTTGCTATTGATCGAAACGCTGAGTATGATGTGAACTTAAGCTGAATCCTTTTGCCAAGAACACTAGAATGATCATTGCCCGAGCAGCGAATTGTTCGCAATTCTCTTGTCCTCTTTTGCCAAAATTTCATCTTGGCGGCCTCAAGTTACATTATTCTCAGCGTTTCGGTTGCTCTCGCGTATGAACGATATTACCCTTAATTACGAGGATAACATCGCGATTTTCAGGGTGCGGCAGGACCGCCAGGGGAAAGAGGACTGCAGGGTCCGTCCGGGGCGAAAGGTGACAAGGGGGATATTGGAATACCAGGGCCGGAAGGTCCTCAAGGTCAGAAGGGCGAGCCGGGTCGAGATGGAATACCCGGTGAAAAGGGAGCGCAAGGTCCGCCGGGGCCGCCCGGAAAAGGAGAATTCTCTGGCTATGACGTAAGTAGATTACCACGCTTGAATATGATCTGTCACGTCGTGCGAGAGGCCGAAATCCAAGTTAAAATATTTTCTCGGGCGCCTCGCCCGCGGCTTGCACCGCCATTTCTGCTTATCCCGCGAGATTTCTTTTATGTCCGCTATTTCCGACAGCAAGTTGCAACCCACATAAAACTTTTCTTGAGATTTGTATTTGCTCTCTGTTATTGTTAACTCACCAATGGCTGCGCGGACTGTTACGACGAGAAATGGATGATAACACTCATCCATGAAAAACTTTATTTCTTTTGATACTTTAAAAACTTGATGGGTCCCATTGATATCGGATGATAAGCTGGCAGAGAGAGAGAGAGAGAGAGAGAGAGAGAGAGAGAGAGAGAGAGAAAAGGGGGGAGGAAGAGAGAGAGAGAGAGAAAAGGGGGAAGGAAGAGAGAGAGAGAGAGAGAGAGAGAAAGAGTACGGGATATTCAGGACGTTGCAAATGATGGTCTCCGTCGCGACAGCGACATGAAGATGAAAATGTGGGAGTTGAGGAAGTGAGCGAAGAAGGGGTAGAGGATATAATACTAACGTAGGAGACATGACATTGAGGAATTCGCTGGAGCAGGACATTTATTGTGTGTATGCGATTACTACAAAGTAGCGGAAATTCAAGTGCGCCCGAGCGTACGAAAAGTCGCTATAATAAGTAGATAAGTATCTTCATTCAAGAAATTTTCATTATCCGCATATGAATCTGGCTCAGCCGCATTATTCGCCATTTTCCCGAAACGGACGCGCCGCGGCGAGAAACTCGGAGGGAAATAGAGGACCGTATCTTCTCTCCCTCGTGGAATCGTCGGGCCATTATCAGAAGTACGCTATTTAAACATCACGTTCGGTATCATCCACTGCGTATTAACTCAGCACGAATTGTCCCAGTTAGTCATAACTTACTCGGATTTCCAGATTACCGTTGTAATGGAGCTACTCCTGCGCTTTAATATCGGTAAAAATTCACACGGGTAGCAAATACGTGTGCGCTCGTGTAACGGCATATAATACCCTCGGCGAGACAAATTGATTCCGTGCAATAAAAGTTCTCGGTGTCGCGACGCTTTTTGCCGTCGGAGCGCGGAAAACAGCGCGACTCAGATTTCGAGAAGGAATGAATAATGAATTTCGATCGCGAAAGGTCACCGCAGCGTCTATCTTCATCGCGCGTTATTTTCATCAAGGTGACTAAGCGTGTTATCGAATACACACGGGGAGTGTGCCGAACTCGCCCATCGGATAAACATCTCGCTCTCGCGACATTAATCGCGTAATTCCCATTATATATTCCCGTGAAACGCGAATATCCAATTTATATCTGCTTATAGAAACGACTGTGGTATCATTGCCACATTATCCATCACGTCCCGAAGTGCGGGTCTTCGAGTGCATGCAAGATGTATTCCGCCTCGCCTTCGCCTCGCGCGTCGCGGCGTACTCCGCGCCCTCCCGCCTTCCCGCCCCCCGATGGGGCTTTTACGTATACCCGACGACTACTACAACGATCCCGCCTCTCTCGTCGTCGTCGCGTAGGACGCGACAAGAAATTCGTTGAATGGAAATGGAACGCGTATCGCCCCGCGGGGAATAAGAAACCGTGCACGTAATAACGGCCGAGTTGTAAGTTCGACCCTCAGCCGCCACCGCCCTCCCTCCTCCACCCACTTTTCCACTACGTCCGACATTCGCGTTTCTCTCCCTCCGTCCCGCGCCTCCTTTTTCGCATTTCCCCGAGTTCGCAAATAGTTCGGCCCGATCCATTCTTAACGACGGCGACTCTCCCGGCGCTTTTTGCCGCGCGACGAAAAATGTTCGCGAGTCGGGTCGGGGGCGAGCGCGCTGACAGGCCTCCAATATTAAAACGATGCACAACGATACATCCGCACGCGTGCGATATTGATGACGGCGAAAGTTCCAGCGGAAAATTCGAACGTGGACGGGCGATGCGGTTCCGGAGCGCGCGCAGACACAATTTCCGAAAAATTCTCTTTCGGTTAACATTTCCATTTCACGGCGCATCGCACGGTTATGTCCGATATAAATGAACTCTCTTCACTCCCACTGACCTGACCTGACCTTCGCGAGAGATGAAGTTACGACGCGTCTCTGACTCTTCTCTACTTAACTACAATTGTAGTGTTTCAACCCCGAAAGACCCGCTTAATAATGGAAACAATAAGAGAGAAGACCATCGCAAACACGAAAGGGAGAAACTTCTTATTATTCGCCGTTATTATATTTCCGTACGAACGCAAGTAACGCTTCTCACACACAACATGACTGACAAGAAGACGCATCGACGTATTGAAAACAATATGTCGATCTCAACCCAGCGGCATTCAGCTGCGAATTTTCCGCGATTTTCCGACGGTATCTCGTCATCGATCGTTCTCGAGGTTCTCTCGTGTTCTCCGTGTCGTTTCTAATTTCCCGATTATCGTCAGTAACGTTCCCGACGCCTCGGAGCCGCAAGGATCTTCCCGCGCGGACATTCATTTCCTCGGAGCGGGCAGGTAGATAGCTCGGGAACGTGTTAAATCCACTTAAGATTGATACTACACGCTGTCAGAGTCGCGGGTGGTCCAATCCCTGAAATCGCTTCCGGTCACGGGAGGAAAGAAATCTCGGTGCTGTCGCGCGCTGTAACGATCCTGTCGCGTCTCAAACCGTCAATTTACCGCCGGAGATGCGGTCGTTTTTTACCTTGTTCTCCTGTTACGTGGTGCGGCATGAAGGAGTAGCGCCGCGGAGACCGGAGGGCCAGGCGAAATACGAGGCAAGAGCGACGCGACGTCGACGTCGTCGTCGTCGTCGTCGTCGTCGTCGTCGTCGTCGTCGGAGAACAACATCATCGCGCTATCGGAGCGCATTGCTCCGCTTTATCAACGACACAGACCTCCTCCGACGCGGTTGCATCTGCGCACCCGCGCGTTGTCGCAATATTTATCCCGCCCGTTATTCGGTTGCGGGAAAGATAGAGCAAAAAAGGAAAGAAGAACAAGGAAACACACACACACACACACAGAATGCGCGCTACAGTTCTTCCTGCCGTTTTCATGCCGCCCCAGTGGCACACTTCCAAATGTTACACCGCGGAGAAGAGAAGCGAGACTTGACCCGAGCCGGCGATTGTTGAGACGTCGCGACGGAGAGAGAAAAAAAAATCCTGTTGCTGAGGACGCGAGGAAGCCGCCGAGAGCTGCTGCAATCGGATTTACAATTGCCGAATGGATCTTACAAAAATTTAGCAATGAGCAACGACCGACGATGGCGCGTTTACGCGACTACGTTTAAGTCTCTCAAATTAAGTCGTGTCGCTGCTCGTGAGCAATTCGAGAAATCCACACATTATATCTCCGCGGTGTGTCTTGAAACGTCGTACTCGCCGATTTCAAGTCGCGGGAGAGAGAATGTCGATGCGGCACTCTCGGCGAACGACTTACTGAACCGAGTTTGATTGCGCGCGGTATCATTGAATATCGATGTGCTCGCTTTATCTCTCAATTTCCTCCCCCGACACGGGCTTGTTGGGCTCTGACAAAATTAGACCACGTCGTCCATTGTGCGCGCGGTACAAGCCGGCGCGGGCGCCGTGAGCGCGGCAATATCGATGATTCGGGCGGCTGTAAACGAGACACACGTCTTTACGACGTAACAAAATGTCGTAAGCTCGCTAGCAGCTTCGCCGGCCGGCTGCGGGGGAGAGTTTGCATTGCTGCGCAACTGCGACACAACGATCCGCTTCGTCCGGATATACACGTCGTCGCGTGTTGGGCGGCCCAGACAATAGGACCGCGCTGCCAGCTAATGCCGCTTGGTGCTGGCTGTGCGCATTCCATTGATAAAGATCCCCAAGAAGCCGCGCGGTCGCGGCCCAAGTCGTTATAATGTTCCGGATTGTTAACCCCGGCGCTCTCTCGCGTTCCACGTTAGTCTTCTTCCCACAATGGCGTCCAGCTATTTCGCGAGCAGCCGCACCTCACTCAACGCCGGCGTAGAAAAAGCTGTTCGCTCAAAAATCCGAATGAAAATTTGATGCTTCGGATATAGGTAGGCTGGACAGACCCGGTCGCGTTGTGCGAGTTATTATTTCACGACAAACCCAATTTTAGAAGGACGATAATCCCCTTCTCGATGGGATTACACCGTGGCACCTGTTGAAAGCGCGCTGAAAGATTAAAACAATCACGCGCCTTTCTTCGGACGCGCCTTACGCGTCGCGAAATTCATCCCGGACGGTCGCGAAACATATCGCAGGAATCTCGCGCTCTACCCTCGAGAGCGTATGAATTCTTAAACCCTGCCTCTCGCGAACGTTGTGTAGCTGTTGCAACTCGCTTCCGCCAAGCCAAAAGCGGTGGTCCATGTATCTCTACAGCGTTATTACGCCATGATACGGCGGCCAATAAAGGGGATCTACCAGAGACTCGTCCTGGTCCTCCTATCGCAATCGGTAGCTCAATCGTCAGCGCGATCGACCAGAGGTACTGTAAGATCCAAATGGGCCGTACATACATATGTAGGCTCGCGCCTAAGTACAATTCGGAACGCGAGGACACGCGAATAAGGACCAGACACTTTACGGCAGGATCAACGGCCAGCCGCTGTGTCGTCGGGACACAAGGTTCATGCAAAGACAGACACTCTCTCGGGTGCGCGTGTCCACGAGAACACTCAACTCAACTCACCCAGGCACACACACGAGCGCGCGCACGCACACTGCGCAACGTGTTATCTTACGTGACCTCGCGCACCCCGGTCCTTCCTCGAATGTGCGAGAGCCCGATTTCCCCGGGGAATACAGAAACCAATTTCTAGGCTGCCTACTGCGCTTGGTGCGCCCGCCGAAGGGAGGCTTGGAGATGCGCGGGTTGCTGCATCCTGGAACGTCGCCGAAGACGGACCTAGTACACTCTCGATTGAGATGGTCGGGCGCGCGCGTTTCGATTGTATACATATACGTATGCGTGTGTATCCTCCCTTTTCTCCACCCTCCTCTCTCCCTCCCTCCGAGTTCGCCGATCGCGCTTCGTCGGACGCCTCTGTGCGGGAGCGATCGCGCGCGGGTTCAGGAGGGCTGGAATTCGAACGAGCAGAATGGAGTGGAAGGAAATTCGGAAACTGTATTAAGGATGCGCCGCGAGCTGTAACCGCGGGGAACCGCTTTAAAATAGAGGCGGATTCGTGGACGCGCGCAAGTAGAACTCCGCTCCGGAGAATTGAAAATTTCGAGCGGAGGAAAAACCATCGGGGACGAAGAGAGGGGGAGGAGATCGTGTTTGATTTTGTGACCCGCGGAAATTTTGATCAGTTTGACCGCGCGCTTGCACGACAAGGCCCGTGCAATATTAATTGCAAACACACACAGGAGTGACGAATGCACAGAGTACACTATTAGTTGTTTAATATTAAGGGATTACACAAGAGAGGGGTGAATTATTGCCATTAGTATTTGCCGAATACACAAACGCGCATTGTTCGGGGCGAAATGTCGTTTGTTGCCGAGTGAAAATGAATATTATTCCCACGTATGGTCTTCGTGAAATCTCAACGTCGCAGAGAGAGGGGGAAGGGACACTTTTACGAATGCCAATGTAATCGAACACAAAGAAAGCGGCGGAGGAATTGTATATGTGTGTACCTCGAACACACCACTGCTTTATCAATAGTTGTTCGAGAAGTCTAAAAGTTTCAAATCGTTCGCGAGGAACTCTCAATGGATATGACGAGTGGTAGGGGCCGAGAGTTGGCGTTGATATATTATAGGTGTATAGCAATCACAGTGACATGATTTATAGCAGAATGCCGTACTAACGCGAAAAAGAGAATAGTTGCTTCAAAGTGCAGATACAAAGGGGGAGAGAGAGAGAGAGAGAGAGAGAGAGAGAGAGAGGGGGGGGAGAGTGAGAGAGAGGGAGGGAGGGAGGGAGGGAGGGAGAGAGAGAGAGAGAGGGGGGGGAGAGAGAGAGAGAGAGAGAAACGATGGGGAAAATTATTAACAAAATTCTCAGAAGTATTCTTCGTGCGAATATACTTTGATTTTAGAAATTATACGTCGAATATCGCGGAAATTGTTGATCGATTATCAGTTTCCCGCGCCGGGCTATTTTAAGCGTAAAAAAATGCGACGTAAACTATCTACGATACACGATACGATACACGTTGTATGGATTTTTAATTGTTTATTTAGATGAATTTTTAAGCACGTAGGCACTCGGTGGATATGCAATTCTTAATTTTTACATTCGAGGTATACTCGCTTGTGAAAAATGATGTTTTTCAATTGGATATTTATCTACGGATATTTGTCTCTGTATAGAAGATTCTCGAAATAATTTACGTATCAAGCAATAAGAATGCCATATTTTTCCCTTTTCTTTGGATGTTTGAAAAACTCACTTTACGTTCGAAGGGAGGTCACGCGATAGTAGCGATAGAAGCGAAGGGAACTTATACGCTCAAGAACGCGGCTTCGCACTTGCGATTTTACTGCGATTCGATTTACGATAAAGCGACCGCGAATCACGTGCAATCGACAATTGTTCGCGGGACGATTGTTCGTTGCTAATCAATGGCGATGCAAGCGTGCAGACGGCAATGTCGGGCCAGCCGCGAGGCTTTCAGTTTCGCGGCGTTATTCCAACGATCTAACGGGGAAATTTCGATTATTATGCGCATGCAGCCCAGTTGGAAACCTCGAAGTATTTACAGGGTGAGTACGGACTGGAGCATTCTGATTGCGCCGTGAATACCATCTATGTTAGTCAGAATTCTGCCTTGCAACATAAAATAAATCGTGTCTTAATCGCGAATGTGGTGCGGCTAATAATATCCCGGGGTGACTGCCGGATAACGATAGCTTTTTATTCAATTTCTCTCGTAATTCTCCTCTCTTCAAGGTAACACAATCTCTCATTTGAATCCTTATCTGTCGGAACTAGACGGAAGGTATCACGATGAGGCCGGGATTGCCAGGACAAAAGGGTGAACCGGGCACGTCAGGAAGCCCCGGGCCGAAAGGCGAAGCCGGGATAACCGGCTCTAAGGGTATCAAGGGTGAGCCTGGACACAAAGGCGCCAAAGGTGATCACGGGAAAGAAGGTCCCAGAGGAACTCAGGGTTTCAAGGGTGAGCCCGGTGCACCCGGTGCACCCGGGCTGCCTGGTGCGCCCGGAGAGAACGGACGGCCAGCTGAGAAGGGCGATAAGGGCGACATAGGACCTGAAGGCAAATCTGGACCTCCAGGACCACCCGGCCCATCCGGCACGAGCGGTCCTGGCGGCATCAACGTCGGAGATTTGGGTGAGTTAATGGACTGGACGTAATAGCCACCTTATTATTTATTACTCACTGTAGCGTCGCGCTTGTCTTTTTTCATCATCTCGTTCGCGAGCGAAGGAAAAAATAAATGCGCATAAAGTTGTGAAGAATTTTGCATTTCTTTCCAAGTTGCGAAGGCTTTAAGAAAAGATACTTTAAGAAGCTACAAGTAATTTCTGCGCTTTCTGTCGACGTTTTATTAAGTAATTGGCTGTTACTCTATATATCATGGGGAAATAAAGGATTACGGATTATTATCTAAACAATCTTTTCTCCCACGAAGATAATAACTCGATCTCCACTGCGTCGAAATAATGGGCGACGAAGTGTAATGTTGAAAATGCTATTTAATGAAGGATTTGGTACGAAAGGCGACAAAGGCGAGCTCGGGACGCGAGGATACAGAGGTGATAAGGGCACGAAGGGCGAGAAGGGCGATAAGGGTGATGCCGGACCAGCCGGTATCCCCGGAATAAACGGCATTCAAGGACCTCAAGGAGATAAAGGCGAGCCTGGTACAGACGGCGTATCTGGGTCACCAGGCACGCCTGGTGCCAAGGGCGAACGAGGCGAAAGAGGCCCTCCTGGAGCCACTACTGTCGCCAGTTCTGGCGACTACGTCACCATCAAAGGCGAGAAGGGCGCCGAGGGGAAACGGGGCAGAAGAGGACGACCTGGACCACCCGGGCCTGTGGGTCCGCCTGGGAAGCCTGGGATCATGGGAGAAATCGGCCTACCGGGCTGGATGGTACGTATTTTAACTCGCTACATCTGTGTGTACATGTATATATATTTATATTATACGACAGATAAAAACAATAGACGCGTATCGTTTTTATATTGCATGAAATTGCTGCAAAAGCAAGTGCTCGTATTCTTATAAATTCACTCATCCGTGAACAATCTTTATTTCATTTACATCCGTAAACGAATCAAAACGAAAGAGGAATATGCGGCCGAATATTTCTTTTTTCTATTCACTGCGCATTATCTTACAACATGATTTAAATATGCATGTTGTAAAATAATGCGTAGTGAGTTAGGTAATAGTAATTTAATCGCGATAGGATTGATGCGATGTATAATTCATATGAGATTATCGTGACAACACATTTTAGTGTTTTCGATACTATTGGCGATAGCGAATGTCGAGCATGCGCTATCCCGTTTCGAAGTACCGACGTGCTTCGCCTCTCTAAAATGATATTATGTTTATTTCTTTTGCAACGCCAACCGAAGAACACGATAAAGGTGAGCTCCATACTTCACGATTATCGAATTGCATCAGTCGACACTCCGTGATGCCTCACACAGCTCTCTCTCTCTCTCTCTCTCTCTCTCTCTCTCTCTCTCTCTCGCACAGCGTCCTTTAGAGTTCCCAGAGCGCTAAATAATTACGAATACAGTATCTCGTGCTTCGTTACACGCGCGTGTGTACGTAAGGGGGTACGAGAGCCGAATTTAACTGTCAAAATACTCATGAAGAAACCGGCTTAAACGCAGATCCAAATCAGATTATTACGCGTCAGTTTTACCACAATATGGTCGAATCCCCTCGCGCTAATTAAAACGCAAACGAGCAATTCATCTGTCACTGTCTTCTTGTAGGGCCGTCCAGGGAATCCCGGGATTCCGGGAAGTATCGGACCAATGGGACCCAAGGGAGAAAAGGGGGAGCCCGGCGCACCGAGCCCTTACGGTGTTTCAGTCGGTGTAAGTATAACTTCCAGTTTCTCGTTGCGGTGTCTTTCTCATCTCTCTCTCTCTCTCTCTCTCTCTCTCTCTCTCTCTCTCTCTCTCTCTCTCTCTCTCTCTCTCTCTCTCTCTCTCTCTCTCTCTCTCTCTCTCTCTTCCTTCCACCTTCTCTCCTCTTTCCCGCCGTGTCTTTCGCTCTTGGCTGCATAAACTTCTCTTTTCTCGCCAAGTTCACATATAAATCCAAGGGGTCGTTAAAAAGGAGCGAGAATCAAGAGCGACGGTCTAAACGCGCCAAAAGCAGCGACGGCCGAAACGGGACCCTCGCGAGGCAACGCTCGTCGTCGGTCCATTAACGGCGGACAACGCGAACGGGAATGACGCGCGTCTCTTCGTTTTCAAAGGAGAAACGAAAAAAGGTCGGCGAGGAAATGAAAATGACGGCTTTCGTCCTGCGGCGCGCGCGCACGCGCACGCTGTTTCGGTCTGACAGATTAAAGTGGCGGCATATATCCTTGTTGCGAACGGTGCGACGCGGAAGTCTTTGAACAACAGTGGGGCCGCGCGACACGAGTGATGGAAATTAATGCAACAGTGCGTCTGGCGTGCATCTCCCCTCTGCCCAAGCTCTCTCTCTCTCTCTCTCTCTCTCTCTCTCTCTCTCTCTCTCTCTCTCTCTCTCTCTCTCTCTCTCTCTCTCTATTTTTTTTTCCTCGTCTTCGTCGCTGGATTTATTCGCCGCGCGCCAAACAGAAATTTTCTCCGCTCACACGGAGTTTCGCGAGCTGTCACAACCCGACAACTGACAAATAACGCATACTGATACGTGATAGCGCTCTCGTTTTGCCGCTAGCTCGCGCTTGTTTGTACGTATTCAACTAGACACTGCCGGATAACATTGCTTTTAAACGTTCGTTGCAATCCGGTGCTCGCGAAATATGTAATACTAGACGCTACAAACGCACGCCATTGATCCCTACGTTTTTCCGCCTCCTTGCTTTCGAATAATTTCGTACTGTCGAAATATACAATCTTCGCGCGGTGACCTCTTTCGCCGGTGATTAATGTCTCTAAAGCTCGTATCGATTGTTGTTATTTGAAACACGTCTCTTTTTTTTTCGAGTGAGATGTTCTGATTTGAATTTAAAGTTGGACGAGAGTGTTTTTATCGAATTGCGATTATATAGATGCAATGTCACGTGTATCGTGTGATTTAGTCGAAAAGTTTGAATTTTAGTTAACTGAATTCGGAAAGTTACATTAAACTCCGAATTAAAATTTAGGTATCGCACGGTGAGAGACGAATTTCGTATGACGACCATTAATCCCAGCTAAGAATCGTCCCGCGGATTCAGTCTCGCTCAGCGTCTACCAATGAGGCCTATCGCTGCATCTCGGCCGTGTCGATTGGCATCCGTCTAGCCTCTTTAGTATCCACCTGTCGGCCACACTTTACTCTCTCATTTTGCTTTGCTTAGCTTCGCTTCACTGCACTGCATTGTATTCTACTCTCGATCGTTTCAATGGCGCTCAACTATTTAACGAGAAGTAGACGATGAAGCGTCTCGAGAATATACGAGTGAATAAAAAATCGCATTGAAAAAATCATGAACGAAATCATGAATGAAAATCACGACGTTTTCGACAAATTCGAGAATGAAAGTAAAGATTCGCAGACGTCTGCACTTTGTTATACATTTAGGAATGTAAATTTAAAAACTATCAAAACTGTCAAATTCCAGTTGAATAGTCTAGATTTTACTGTCAATATTTAACTGTTCAACTAACATTAAAAATATTCCCTATTTATAATATAATTTTTAATATATTTTTATATATATTTTTCTAATTCTTTATATATATATATATTTTATAATTATATTTATATTATCTTATATATTCAATATATATATTTTTCCCTCAATAGATATTTTTTTATAAACTAGATTTTCGATTCTTTTTTAATCTGTCTAAAGCTTTAAATATTTAATCTGGCACTTTGGTAATTAGATTCGAGCAAATTGGGAATCGTCCGAAAAAGCATCTTTCAATCCATATATCTCTACAACGATTATTATAATTGCCTGGCTGCTGCTTACATATGTAAGCTACGTTATTAGCTGTGTAAGATTTCCAGGCTACGGGACGCTCTCGAGAGCATCGTTACGCTATCCATTCAATTATTTAACATTCTCTCGTCATAATATTAGCAGTGTCCATATTGTTTTATGGCGTTTAATTACCCCTTGATATTCAAACCGTCAAAATGTACGTCAAATGCACCGCTCGGGACAATTGCCAAAGCAAACAGCAACTCGCATTGAAATCGAGAAAGCCGATCGGCGCCGCAGAGAAGGGACAGCAGTGAAATAACACTCTTTTATGAGCGGAAAACAAGAATGCGATCACGCTGAATGGAGAGGAAAAGGAGCGTCGCGAAACAATGTATACAGAGCTGTCGCGCGTTATCTCCAGGGGCGGACTCTTCGATGAATTTCAAATGAATTTCCCTCTGATCGAAATCTTTCAATAATGCCTAATTACGGAGACGAGAGCTCTTGCGGATTGAGATCTCCGGTAACCGATGTAAATGCAAATGGAAAGCGGACTTTTATATTTCTTTTTCCAATTAAATTCGGTTTTATTTAGCTCCGTCACACAATGAGGACTTTATCCGAGGCTTACTCGCGGCGAAATTCAGCGCTGAAAAAAATTGCAAAGACGTAACTTGTTTAGATCGTTAAAGAATTCCGCGAATATTTTACGTTCGGCCCACGACACATTCTATACGACGCAAAATTTCGAACAATGCTATCCGCCAAAGGGACGCGGGGTTCCGATGAATGCTGTTTAAAAAAGTTTCTTTGACAAAAATTCCACAAAGATACAAAGTATTATAGCGATAAAGACGAGCTGTTCGCGGAGTCTCCTGAAGGTATATAATCAGTACAACATTGACAGCGACAAAGAAGGATCATTCGTTTCGCGAAGAGGGAGAGAGAGAGGGAGAGAGAGAGAGAGAAAGAGAGAGAGAGAGAGAGAGAGAGAGAGAGAGAGAGAGAGAGAGAGAGAGAGAGAGAGAGAGAGAGAGAGAGAGAGAGAGAGCGATCACAGTCGAGCGAGAGAAAATTCCGATATCGCCTTCCCACGATCGGCAATGTCTCTCGCGCGCAGCATGTAAACCATCCACTGAACATCCGTGAAAAAGAACGAGAGAAACGGAGAAACGTCGACAGAGAGCCGACGTGATGCGCCTAAGCGATCGTTGCATCTCATTCTTCGCTATTCCCGACGAATCAACCACTCCTGTTCCTGCAATACCGTACTACTTATCGACTCCGTATAAACCTGTCTATCTGCCTGACTGTCGGGGCGCGGTAATGTAGTGAGAAGGAGATTGATAGCGGGGCGACTATTGAAAATACACATCTCTCTCGTGCGGCCGCTCGGAAAGATGCCATAAACCTATTCGCGTGACGAACATCTTTTCCTAGATCAAAGGCGACAAAGGAAACGACGGTTTGCCCGGGATTCCCGGTCAGACTGGAAGAGACGGTCAAAGAGGAGCCCCGGGTCCTCCTGGACCTCCCGGGCCATCATCTCAAGGGAAATATATGCCGGTTCCAGGACCTCCAGGTCCTCCCGGTCCACCGGGTCCGCCCGGGGTGTCTTTGGTCGGACAGAAAGGAGAGCCCGGTATCGGTAGAAATTCTTACGGCGAAAAGAATCTATACTATGGCCTCAGACAAGGTAAAGACATTAAGGCGAGTCCGATAAGACGATGATAATTGTAGCATGATGGTAATGAAATTTCGTATTTGCACACCACAAGGATCCAGAAGCAACACGGACGAGCTGAAAGCCCTGCGTGAACTCAAGCAACTGAGAGAACAATTAGGTAATCACCGTACATTAATTATCTGGCGAACTTGTAATCCTTAACTTTCGCGAATAGCGTGTGGATGCCTGTTAATTTGTTCTTTTTCTTATCAACTTGCAAATTTCAAGATATTGTCGCTACTGTCGCTACCAAGCTACCTTTAGAAAGTACAACGAAAATTGTGCCAGGAGCTGTTACGTTCCAAAACACAGAAATTATGAGAAAGGTGGGTGTCTCCAATCCGCTGAAAATTATCGTCGCTTTACGTGCGTGCTCAAAGTATCCCATCTCCCCGATCTCCCGTTTCCCCGTCCTCCTCGTATGTTGCAGATGTCCAGCGTCAGTCCGGTCGGGACTCTGGCTTACATCATAGATGAGCAGGCTTTGCTGGTCAGAGTTAACAACGGATGGCAATACATAGCGGTCAGTGTTCGATATGCATGTTGTTACGAATGTAACAACAACCCTCGGTAAGTATGTCAAGGTTGAATCTCTCGTCTGATCTCTCTGTTCCTCACAGCTCGGTTCACTACTGCCTATCACAACGCCCGCACCGCCAACGACAGCACCGCCACCGGCGAATCCTCCCTTCGAAGCGTCCAATTTGATTAACCAAATACCCATGAAAGCCGACGGGACAGGGGTAAGTTGACGACTTAAGCAGTCCATTTCGTGTCTGAGGCGCGTCTGTAGGGACGAATCCGCATCAGGCTCAAGTGTAATTCGCAATTTCTTTGCCCCACGCTGCCGCAGTGGTACCCGCGAATGGTGAGATTGTACCATATTTCATTTTTCATCCGCGACGAAACGTATTTTTCACTTAAGACCGCGCGCTCTACGAGAGAAAGACGATGAGAGAAAAATTCGTTCTCTTATTTGTATTTTTTTTAATAACGCATGTCAATTTTTCGAAAGTTTCTATATATATATATATATATATATATTTGTGCGGTTTATACTATAATACGCAGACTGAAAATGTCCTCTCTAATGCGATCTGTACCTTTTAGTTAAGGATGGCTGCATTGAACGAACCTTTCACCGGAGATATGCACGGCATACGGGGAGCTGACTACGCTTGCTATCGACAAGCGAGACGAGCGGGCCTGAGAGGTACCTTCCGCGCCTTTCTCAGCTCTCGAGTTCAAAACGTCGACAGCATTGTCAGATTGGGAGACCGGGACCTTCCCATAGTCAACATCAAGGTAATTACGGCGAATAAAAGTATTTGTTCACGCGAATAAAAGTATTCGCGTTTCCGTTGGGTCGATCTTGTCAAATAACGAGCGATCGAAAATATCCAGGGCGACGTGCTATTCAACTCCTGGAAGGAGATGTTCAACGGGAACGGCGCATACTTTTCGCAGAATCCCAGAATCTACAGCTTCAATGGGAAGAACATCCTCACCGACTTTACGTGGTAAGTGAACGGTGGTGTATCGATTGCAAGCGAGGGCAAACATGTTGATCCTCCCGTGTAGATATTCACACAGAAAAAAATCTCAAAATAAATCCTTCTTTGACAATGAACTTTCTCAGACTTATAGTCGTAAGTATATTTTAAAATTGTTATCAAGAAAATATTCTTTGTTGACACAATAATCGTTATCCGACAGAAAGGAAGTAAACCGAAGTAAACTACTTTCTTCACTGTAGAATTTTTTTCTGTGTGACCATTACTGATTGTTATTAGTATTGCTATTAATTACATTACTACTAATTGTAAAAATCAATTCTTCTTCAGGTCGGAGAAAGTTGCGTGGCACGGCTCTCACAAACTCGGCGACCGAGCGATGGACACTTACTGCGACGCCTGGCACTCGAGTAACTCCGATCGCTACGGGCTGGGCTCGCCGTTGACCGGCGGTCGGCTTCTGGAACAAGTGCGATACTCATGCGACAATAAATTCGCGCTGCTGTGCATCGAGGTAACGAGCGAGTCGGTGAGGAGGCGGCGGAGCGCCGACGATCGGCCGGAGGACGACCTCGAGATGACGGAGAACGATTACATGGAGTACTTGGAGGAACTCATGCAATACTGAGGATCACACACTTTTTCGATCATTCGCATCACCCTCGCGACGCAAAAATCGAGCCGTATCATGTAAATAGGAATGCAGGTACGCGCGTGCTGCGCTTCTTCTTTCGCGCGATGAGAAGCATATCCCACGAGAATTCGACTAATAATTCGTATACATATCGTGAAAGCGGAATCAAGAGAGAGAGAGAGAGAGAGAGAGAGAGAGAGAGAGAGAGAGAGAGAGAGAGAGAGAGAGAGAGAGAGAGAGAGAGAGAGAGAGAGAGAGAAGAAGAAGAAGAAGAAGAGAGAATTAGCACGTCTCGTCGCGTCGCGTCGCGTCACACCTCGTACCCGAGTCTCATGAAATTCTATCTCTGATCCCAAAAGTATAATTACTTATGCTCGCCGCGAGACACTAGACAACCGCTTCTACCGCGTTCTCAGTTTTCACTTTCTCTTGAACTTTCTCAAAGATAAAAAAAGACTGATTGTCTAGATATTCATCAGTGTTTCGTCGTATTCGAGTATTCATACCGGGTACTCTTTTCCTTCTATCAGCCGTTTCGGAGAGACCTCGGGGTCGCTCGCGGTCTCGACGAAATCACCACATTTCAACGTTCGTTAAGCGTCTCCCCTCATCACGATAAACGTCCAAAAATATTTATAGATCGCCGCACGAGCGACAGGAACCCGGAACAACGTGCGCTCGATTCATTCTCAGGTCCGCGTTTATGGCGCGCTTCAAATGCTAAAAGCGACCGTCTGGCTTCGGTCTGTTTTCCTTGTTAGACACCGCGGACGAGAGCTCTACACGATGCAGCATTCGATGATTTTATATTATGATGTCAAACGCGAGAAAGTGCGAGCGAATGCATATCGCAAGTCCCTCCATATCATTATCCATATCATTGTAAACATTGAGGATCCGAAATCGGAATAAGATAGATCAGAATAAGATAATTCTAAAAGCGTTAAAATGTCTGACTCGCCTTTGATTTTCCTTCTCGATCTTTTTCGCGGCGTATTAAATTTTTGGAAATGCAAAATATATATACATTTTCAAACTGTATTTCACTTTGTTTTCAAAAGTTATAATAAATGTAACATGAGATTCGATTGAAAACATTCGGGTGTTTTATGTTATTTCACTGTGTTATTTCATTAGAGTATTAAAATTAAATGGTTTTTGCAGTTTTCACGGTATTGTTACATTTTTAAGTTAACAATATATTTAATTTATTTAAACTGACGGTCGTTCGAAATTCGAGTCCTCAATTGTGCGCGAGTAGAATAGAACACAACTCCTCGTTTCTGGCGTCCTGATACAAAATAGCCGATGTAGCTATTGTGGATCGTAAAATGGACACCCAGACGATCATGTTCGGCAATATGTCGCGCTGTAAATGTGGGCCGTTTAAAGAAGCAACTAACTAACTAACGCTGCTCTAAGTAAACCTAAACGAACTTCGTACCCGCGCGATCAAGTTGCATTTACATTTTAGCTGATACATATTGAGTGTGTATGTTAGACATAAGAGACACATCGATTAAGGAGTTTCAGACGACAGCTCGTTGTCGAAGATTTATGCTCCGTGTAACGTGGGTCACAGACGTTTACGTGACACGAATGTAAAATGGAATGGAACTACGCGACCAAAAAAATACTTTAAATTGAAAACAGAACTGCCATCGAGATCGTCGAAATCCTTGAAAGAAAAGTTAGAAAACAATCGCAGACGATAGAACATCAATTACGAATTGATCTTTCCTATCCGTGGAAATATTTTATCTCTTGAAATTATTGATCAAGCGCAACTTCGATACCGTTCTATTATACCATATACAAGTGCCCTGATGGAAAGTATCCTTTATATCTTCTCAGTATCTACCTTCGATTCTACCCGATATGATATCTCATGCGCTTGACCCACGAAGTTCATAAAACCGACTTGAAAGCAACGAATTTTAGATGAACGAGTAACAGTTACTAAAACTCTGCGATACAGTTGTAAAACGGGTACAACGATTTATACATCTGTTATTCGTACGTATTACTCTCTTACATATTACTTTTCCTGAGATTACAACTTGCGCCCGAGGCCATCGCGTTACACCAAGCACAAATCGGATCTAAGTCAATGTCTATAACTCGATGATATACCGTTAACGTTAACATAATTTATTACAGTTACGTAGAGATCGATCATGAGGCCATCATATGTATGTACACTTAGGTTGTCAGCATGCTTGTTGGCGAATATTTCCTATGCGAATATACCGTATGTGAACTTTTTTAAATGTCGTCAGTAGTCGTGATATCCAGGAAGAATGTAAAATCGATTATCCTTCAATATAGTTTGCACCGAGAACGTTTTGTTTCCAAATTTTGTATTATTTGTACAATTTATTATTGTCTTTCTAAATAAAAGACGAAAGGGAGTCTTGTCTCGAATTACGCCTTTTAAACCCTCCTTCATATCGGGCATGCCGAATTGAATGACGACTGACTTTTTTTTCATAAAATTTGCAACGTACTCCGTAATAAATAGGAAAATGAATCTCTTGGGAAGTATAAAAAAAAACAATACTCCTGATGAATAGAGACGGACCACAAAAGTTATCGAAAAGTTGTATTCTTCAATTAGCTGACTGTACATAAAGATCCTATATAAATATAAATGTTTTTCCGAATTTAACGAAAAACATAACTACACACACACACATAGATATCTTTCAACAAAGCTCTCGCATGTTTCTAAGCCTTTAAATTCAATGATAAAGGCAGAGCGATGTTCTTTGAAATTTCCCAATGGTGTGCTGCAGCAACGCAAACACATACTCGGTACGTACAAGCTATAGAAAAATATTTACGCCAATTAGCAGCTCGAGATGTCAATTTAGAAATTTTTTTCTCGTTTTCACTATGTATGAAGCGAGTCTCCATATTATTTCCTGCACGTACCTCCATTGTGTAAAAGCATTTATTATTCTGTGAGATCAGTATAAACTTGTTAAGAAAAAGTAACTAATTTAACAGTGAATATTTTTAATGACATTTCCATCGTTACGAAAATCACTATAAATCAATGAAATATATCCGATATATAAAAAATATATGTCACAAAGTATCATCCAATATCTATTAATTGTCGATATATTCATCAACAGAAACAAAAACGATTAATATATTACAATCGCCAAATATGACGAAAATGATACAAAATCTACCACGTTCTAGTTACAATATACCATTTCTGTTGTTAATTTATCGATATTAAATTATGAATTATGATCACGATAACCTAAATTGAAACACACATAATTTTTTGTTTCCATCTAAATAAATAGGAATACATATTTGAATTGAAATACACATACAGAGAATACGAGTCACAAATTTTAGAACAATGCACGCAGTACTATACAGTTTTATTAGTATGCTGTAATAATATTTTTATTTTAAAATATATTACAGAATTATAGAATATAAATCTATTAAAAAATATATTTAAGATTTAAGTACTGTTAAAGCTTCCGTATACTTCAAACCTTCTAAGATGTAAGCTAAATTTTCCACCGACGCGTCCTCGTCCTCTTCCGCCCATATCTCGAGCATACTCTTGCACTGTTCGTACGGTGTTGATTTACTTTGAAAGAAGGCGATCTAAAATGCATACGGTACGCTCAAATTTTATCATTACGAACGACATGAGGTTTTTTACGATGAGAAAATTGAACGCGTATATACCTCGTCGTTGGTGTAACCGAATTTTGCCGCCAACTTCTTCCAGTCGTTCTTCAGGCTTTCCGATAATTTCGCCACCATTTCCGGAGTAACTTTATTTAACTTTCTAGTTTTCATGTCGACGCTCTCGGAATCAACTTGGTCGCTTTCTTGCTTGAGGACATCCTCATTGAATTCCTGATCGTTAGATTCCGGCGGCGGTGTCTCTTCGGTTTCCAATTTAATGTCAGACTGTGTCTGCTATGAAATATTGTCGATGATAAACACATGAGTCCAAGTTACAATACAATATAATACATACATGGAGAGACAACGAATACCGGATACTCACCGGACGATCTTTGGCAATTTTCTTGATCATCGTTTCAAGATATTCGGGCAATTTATTTATGGGATAATTGCCGTGAACGAAGAAATGCGGACTTCGTCTTGCTAACAATCTTAACGCTCTCCAACCGAAATTACCATCGTTCACTTTTCTGTATAAGCATAAAGTCGCAATAGGTAAAGTTGAAGATTAATTTTAGTTACGAAAAGAAGAAAAGAAAGAATAATGCTTACTTGTACTTATCATCGATCATCGCGGCGGGATCTAATTCTACTATGGCATCCTCGAAGTACGTTTCTAGAGAAGGAAGAAAATCTCTATCCTTGGATTTGCAAGCTTCGAGATTGTCAGGACACAGATTCCACAATTTCGTGAGTTCCGGGCTATCAAAAAATAACACAGATATACTCGTTCACGAATACCGATTATCATCTTTTACTTCAAAGCACCAAGGTAGCTTACTTTCCCATGTGATATTTGCCAACTGTTTGCGCGTCTCTGATCACGTCCCCGATTCTCCGCCTCGGTCTCTTCGGTTTCCGCGGTTCCTCGTCTGCAGCGATGTCCGACGTTGGCCTCTTGAACGGTGGGCAACCCTCATTCTTCCACGCATTCCAATGTTCCTCGCGTTTCAGGATATTTTTTACAGTCTCCGCAAAAGCTGGCCCGTCAGGCGGTGTCTCGGTCAGTAAAGCATAAACTTGTTCTGTGGTAGTTTTCACCCACTCCACTTGATCCGGCTTAAGCTCATGCGTCTCACTTAAAATTGACAAATATCATAGTGATTCCGCATCGTACATGTAACCGTATATCTAATTTAAGGAAAGCAGACCTTGTCTCATAGCCACTGGCAAGGAAGCTTTGAAAAACAAACATTGTTTTATGACTAATCAGAAGAATTTTACTACTTCATTCACGAGCAATTTGCTGAGTATGTTTGTGAAGAAAAGGGCTTGTGAATCTCCTAATACATGGTACTTATTGTGTTGCGTTAATATCAGGAATACTTACGCTTTGAACTTCACAGTGCTATTCAGATACTGGAAAAGAATGAGAAACTGCAGCAACACATATCGCCTGAAGTTGGAATCTGACAGCTGTAGTTCCAGCAATTTCTGATTAGTCAAATATTTAGCAAAGTAGTGAGTTTCCTTGTGAGAACCTTCCATAGAAGAATCCATTTTGATACACGTTGTGGGATAACTACGTTGCTCTTCCAATTTAAAAGATGAAAATGCTGATAGCACATTAGATGCATGCTATAAAAAATATGTTAGAAACATATATATATATATATATCATCTAAATAATTTTATAGAAAGTCTGTAATAAAGGTTCAAGAAAAATTACTTACAGCTGAGAAAACTTTCCAATGCATCTTATTGTAGCACTGATTCGGATTCCTAAAATAATCCTGTAGTGCCCAAAACTTTCTGTATAAGTTATAATCAATTGGTATTTTATTTTCTGACTTATCATCGTCTTTGTTTATTTGCTCTAGATCATCACCTTCTGTTTTTTCAGACCCAAACTCTGTATAATTTTCGAGATTGAACTCACTGACAATATTTAAGCCGGATCTTTCAGAGAAAGGAAAGAATTTTGCAAGGAATAGCAAGATTCTACCACAGAATACAGTTTGCTGAGAACGTGACAGTCTTCTCAACAGGTCATTACACATTCTTAACAAATTATTCTTGCAGGCGCTGAAAAACAAATCTTCCTTCCACACAGAGACATTGTCCTCAACAAAGGTGAACAGTTGTTCACATCTGTCCAAAGTTACTGAATCGAAAATATCACCGAGCAGCATCACCGGCATACTCGCCGTTGCCAAATCCTTCCTGCATAGTTCTATGCAAAAAGTAATATATAACTCAAGAGAATGCACATTGCCGGAGGAGTTCTCCGTCAACACTATCAAAAGGGTGTCTCGAAGCGCCTGATCGACCGCCGCTTTCCTGTCCCCATCGTTCGCACAACGTTCGACGCATTTCTTCTGAAACGATGAGACGTCCGATTGCTTGAAATGTTGTCGCAAATAAACCTGGAAGCGAGCGAGACATTTCGTAAATGTTAATCTGAAAAGTTAAGTCTGAAAAACCAAAGCCTTATACTATTCGTTCCAAACATTATACTCACACTGTAATCTTTTCTCAGCACTTCGAACATTGCCATGATGATATCCTTAATCTTACCACCATGGATCTGTGTTAATTTTATGAAAAATAAGTTGTGGAACTATGTGATTTTAACATAACACACGTACGTACGCCTAACCAATCTCTATTTCTATGACCGGTTACACACAGACCGCGGCAACTCTTTGGTCTGATCTTTGTAGCTGCACTGCTGAACTGGTGCAGCTACAAAGGACAGACCAATTGCCATGCGGGCCGCGGCCATAGATGTCTATACTGTCTGTCTGATTTCTATCAGCAGGAGAGAAACCTGGGGCCCTATTTTTGAACTACTTGCATATACCAGAGAGGAACGTGAGAGCGGCCAACACAGTGTTTTCGACGACACCGATTTTTCGCACTGGGAAAGGCCGCCATCTGCATCCATTTTGAGAGGGGAACTACGAGGCTACATCCACATTCAGGTTTCGGCGGTAAAACCTGTATATGGTGACAGTCTGTGCTACATCCATTTTAGGCGGTTTATATCCGTGCTACAACCATAATAGCATATTTGACAAGCACGGTCTCGCACATTGTTACGCGTTTATAATAATATGAATTAACATGTTAACATGTGCAAAAAAAAAAGAATTGACATTGTGTATGATTAATATCATGAAGATCATACGAAGTGTCCGGTAATTAGCTGCCAACCCGAAGTGTGAGGGTAGATTGGGTTGAGACAAACATAAATGTCTCATACCATTTTGCGAGATTCGCAATAATTATCGAGTTATTAATGACAGAAATCTGAGGAGTAAAAGCGCGCCGACATAGATGATTCGAAAAGCGTTGCAGTTGCTCAGGGCAGCGATCATGAATCTTTTCCCTAGCGTGAACTAATAAAAAGTGAAAGACTTCTGTGAATCAGTGAAAAATGAAAAATTTTATATGAATTTGTGAAAATCGAAACATTTCACACGACAATTGAGTCGTTCAACATGGCAGTTGCGCGTTCTGGATAATTCAATGAATACCAAAGAAATCAAATTGATCAAAATAATAATGTCCGTGTAGTCCGAAGGATATTACGTGACACGCAAAATCCGTTTGATATAATATCCAAAGAAAATGTTTCAAAATATGTATGTACAGGTAATATAAACCTTATGCACCGACGAGATATACTACAAAGACTGATGACCTTACGGGATTTAGCGTACCAGAGAAATTTCCCTGGTGAGGCACTCGGGTGAAAGAGACCGTCTCGCATTTAGCGCAGTAAAATTTAATGGAAACTAATACTTTTCAATCCTTTTCTTCGGATCAAAAAGATTCAGAAATCAGACATATTCAAAATGTCAATACTTTTTAATACGTTTCAATTCGACATTTTATACAGAAAAGTAGGACGAAGGGAATGGGATGCGGGCAACGATACATCATGCGTCCACAGACGTGTCAAATCGTTTATTATAGAGGAGACTTTGATACGGCAACATGTATTCGAATATTTAATCGTCCCATGGACCACTTATATATAATAAAAAAAAAATTAACGCGGATAAATGAACGATCAATTTTTATTCTGTTATAAAGAAATTAAAGAATCAGTCAGTACCGAAAATTGAAGACCGATCAATATTTAATTTATTTATCAAATTAACGCGGATAAATGAACATTTCGTATGAATTTTTTTTCTTATTGAGAAATGAAAGAGTAAATCAGTACCAAAAATCGAATGTCGATTAATACCATAAATCAGTGTCAAAAAATTGTCCAAGTGCAATGACAATTTGTTCTCATTTTTCAGGTACTTACCCCTTTATCTCATTCAACAAATTAACTCGGATAAACGAACGATTCGTATCAATTTTTTTGTCTTGTAAAACAATGAGAAAATAAATCTGTACCAAAAATCGAAGACCGTTCAATATCTAATTTTTTCATCAAATTAACGCGGATAAATGAACAATTTATATCAATCTTTTTTTCTTTTATAGAGAAATCAAAGACTAAATCAGTATCGTAAACCGGATATTGATTAATACTATAAATCAGTGTTAGAAAATTGTATTGATTGAATTGAGAATCAGTCAGTATCGAAAATTGAAGACCGATCAATATTGAATTTATTCATCAAATTAACGCGGATAAATGAACGATTCGTATGAATTTTTTTTTCTTATAGAGAAATGAAAGAGTAAATCAGTACCGAAAATCGAATATCGATTAATACCATAAATCAATGTCAAAAAATTGTCCAAGTGCAATGATAATTTGTTCTCATTTTTCAGGTACTTACCCCTCTAATCTTATTCAACAAATTAACTCGAATAAACGAATGATTCATATCAATTTTTCTTGTCTTATAAAAGAAAAGAGAGAATAAATCAGTACCGAAAATTGAAGACCGATCAATATTTAATTTATTCATCAAATTAACGCGGTTAAATGGACGAGTCGTATCAATTTTCTTGTCTTGTAGAGGAATGAAAGAGTAAATCAGTATATCGAATATCGGTCAATACCAGAAATCAGTGTCAGAAGATTGTCCAAGTGCAATAACAATTCGTTCTCATTCCCGAGTCTTTCCCGAGTCGAAATATTAATTCTACATTGATCCTGCAAATTGCATCCAATTTGAAAAATCAATGTAGAATATCTAGGTGCGCAATAGTGAACAAGCTTTGTCCTACCTGAACGTTACATCTGGCTACTCTCGCAGTCTCGCCCATGATGAGTCTTCAACAGCGACGTATTCCGCAGTTATTTAATACTCGTTTATTTCGATAATGTATATGTACTTAATCCTTATATTCTTAATTTACATGAGCAATTTTTGTTGATTTTGATTATATATTCGCTTAACAGCGCAAGAAAGAGAACAAAGATAAAAACGTAAATAGAACTGCCTTTGTTAGACTGCGCGTGAGATAAATATATAAGGATTAAATAATCATATAAGAATTAGAGGAAATGGGGGATGAAAAACACTTTTTATTCTCATCATTCTTAAAGTTCTTTTTTCCTTTTTTCTTCTCTTTTTTTTTCTTTTCTTTTTTCTAATGAGAATGATGAGAATTGTAGCTCTTAAAAGAGCTGAAGCTGCAAAAAGACAACGGTTATGTCTAATAATGCTGTTTCACTAATAGAGATTTTAATTCTGATTCGGTACAATAAGAAAGATAAACAAGAATGAGAAACGGACATTCTAGCAGATTCTAAACGAAAACAGCAATCTGAGCATTATTAGACGAATAAAAATCAACACTTGTAAAATTTATATCAGATTCTAAGATCATTATTCATAGTTTTTTTAAATTATGTGCAATTTTTCATTGAGAACATAATTAAAATTTGTATTCATAAACCTTAGCTTGCCTCAGCAACCTTGCTTGAATAGACATTCATATTTTACGAGAAAAGAAAAGTAGGACTCATGTTACGTGAAATTAATTTAACGAATAATCAAATCTCAAGCTATTTTTTAGACGATAAACTATGAATGCTGATCTAATTTCGACTCGGGTATGTCCTTACTTCGAGTAAGGTCCGTTAAAATTAGAAAAATCCTGCGTAATAATAATTACTCGAGGTACCTCGAATACCATACATGATGTATCGCTGTCCTCGGCTACGTCTCTCGGCGCGCTCCGAGTCCTCTCTCCATCCTGACTTCTCGATCCGACGTCCTCCTTCTGGTTACTCCGTCGCAGCACCCCCGGATACTCCATCGTAGCACTGGCGACGACACTGACTCTAGCTCTAACACTCGCGCAAGTAAGATTCGGGGACAAAGAAACGCGTATTAACCGACATTGCTCTGCGTCGCGGCATGCGCGTCGTTCGTCGACCCGAGGCGCAATGTCCTTTCCGCAATCACGGAGTCATATATAAGCGTACGAAAACAAACAATCAGGAAGGCACGGTTACCCCCCACCTTGCCGATCAATGTTAATGCCTGCGTCGTCCGTTAGCTGAAAATAAAAACAACTCGTGTTTTCAAAGCATACCTGAGAGAGAGAGAGTCGCTTCAAACTTCACAATAATTATTTACGTCTGTTCCAAGAATCATATTATGCTGAATTCAAACTGTCTCTATTTTAACATGACATACACGAGATCTGCGATCACATTATTGATCTTTCTTTGGACAAGAAAATCCTGAGAGGAACGCTGTTCGAGAATATCACATTTTATGTTTCAGGTGCCTTGTAGATTATCGAATCCGATGTAACAGATCAGGGAAAGTATGAATGCGTCGCTATGAATAACATGCGTGGGCACGGAGTACTCCAAGTCAATCATGTTATACGTGAAACGTACGTATATTTAATATTATATAAAACTTACCTTTTTAAACAAAAAGGTAAAAAAAAGGCGCCAAGTACAAGCGCAACACGTATTGTGTTATTTTTAGAAGTATCAAACTCAAATTATTTTTTTTATTGTATATATGTGTACATAAGTTTTTACAAGTAAAACTTATAACTATAATAAAACTCTGCAACACTTTTCTACTGTACAAAAGAAGTGATATATTAGAACAGTAGCGCCAACTGAGAAATTCCGACTTCTTATTCCCGGAAAATTCGTCAAACGTCAAACGAAGGGCAAAAAGTGTCGTCACTCGCGAGCCGATCAACACAATCGGCGCGATGTAAACATTGCGGGCCTCGGCGGCGGTTGAAGCAAGAGAGACTTGCCTTTGAGCATCTTTTCTTTTCTCGAAGGTTCCGGGACAACGAGGGAAATGCGAGGAGGCCTTTCAACTGTACGCGACATTGATTTACTACTTATTGATTACTGAAAATAAAGAAAATTATTCTGTCGAAGCATCGGATATTTGTTAGCTTTATGTTAATTAAAGAGGAATGTGTACGATTAGAAAATATGTTAGCAACTAATTGTACAGAATATCAAAGTTGTAACGCCGTTTTCGGAGAATAATTAAGAGTCATGGTAACGTTAAAGAGTGGCATTTCATCTCATGCGAATTTTGTCTCGTTCTTATTAAATGTTAGATTATCCGCTGCGGACAATAACTCTTCTACTTTTCATCTAATATTCAATGATAATAAATAACATTTAATTGCATTCGTTTGGCTTCTTTTTATTTCGAAAATAAAAAAATATATACCAGGGTGAGATTTCACCCATGACAACATCAACGTGATTTTCTTTGATGCTTTTTTTAAAAGTTTAAATATTTCGTCGACTCGCGGGATATTTATAATCGGAGTCTCGTCGCGTTAATTAAC